TGTTGTAGTTTTAGGTTTCGGCCCACTAATGATCTGCATGGCAAAAAGATTACCGTGTTTGGTTTGGTCCATAGGTAGTACAATCTGGCCCATGTTGGAATTGTAAGGAGGGCATAAAGCAAGTCCTCGAAGTGCAGGAATTCGTGGTTTTGGGACTGGTCGTACTTCATGTAATCATTAGTGAAGCTAGGTCATCCTTTCAGTTGGCCTTCAGGAATTTATTCATTGATTCAAAATTCTTCTCAACAAGAATGAAGATATTGCCTGGGTGTGTTTGCCTGGGCGATGTGTTTTTTGACCTGATGTATAACGTAGCGGACGATTGGGCCGATTAAGTAGTGTTACACCCGAAACTACCTCTTAGAAGTCCGGTATAACAGTTTTACTTTAGTGATAGATATGTTAGACGATTGATAACAATTACCGATTTATGCTTAAGTAAAATATATGATTTATTGCAGTTACACTTTTTAAGAGGATTACGTGATTTGCAATTATGAAAGAGGCAAACGGCTAAATGTATATGAAGATACAATTTATAACAAGTTTACAGTTTATTCAAAAAGTTCTCGAGTTATACGTGTATGAAGATACTATAATTAATCTACAAGTTCTCGAGTTATACGTGTATGAAGTCACTATAACTGATCTATTTATTCGAGTTATCTGTGTATGAAGACACGATTACTCTTTAGAGGATTATTAGTCCTATTGTTTGTTTAATAAAGTATTCGAGTTCGTGTATGAAGACACGACTACTCCTTTATTATTATTATTGTGTTGTTTTTAACTGTTTTTACAAGAGTGATAAGTGGGGCTATTAATACATTTTGATCGTTATAGTCTTTTGCTATTATTTTATTAAAACACCCTTTAGCTATACATGTGTGCCTAAATTATTTTTGAAAAAATATATTTTCGGCAAATATTTCGGCATTGCTAAATTTTTTATATGAAACCCTCAAAAATAACTATACTATATGATATGTTTTGATGAAAAGAGTTTAAAAATTTTCTGCAATAATTTCGGCAAATATAAAAATTAATTTCGGCACTATATAAAAT